CATACGGAGCGTCAGAGCTCTTGGGCAAGAAGCCCTCTGTTCAGACGCGCAAGAACACGCGTGCAGTCTACACTCTCTGCAAGCTTTTGTGCAAGAGCGGCCATTCTTGCGCAAAAAGCCTGCAGTGTAGATGTAGCCCTGTGTGTACCGGTTCCTGTCTGCCCCCCCACTCCTGCTGCCTCTCTATCAGAAGCAACAGGCCAGGGAGCTCATGGCTCCACATGAGTCAGTGCTTGTGGGGAGCTGACTTAAAAGCTGGCTGCCCATGAGCGCTGGCTCCTCCCTGCCCCAGCAGCACAGGGGGGGAACAGGGGCTGAGGGAGAGAGGACTGGGTGTAAACATGAAGGTTCACCAAAGAATCCAGGCTCATCTGTTAACTATTTCCATGTTTACTATTGTATCCCTACTTGAAGCAGGAATTCCCATGGAAGTCTTATGACCTGTTTTATAGAGCAGGTCAAATTAGATTATTATGAGTGTCTCTTCTGGCCTTAAAAATCTATGAATATGAAATGCTTTACATAAATGGACACACTATATACAAAGAACATATCAAAATTTGATTGTAATAATTTAACTAAACAAAATGTCACAATATTAAAGAACATACATGCTGTAATAGACTCCTTTACTGTAATAGACTCCATTCCGTGAACAGAACTGGGCCAAACAAGCAATTGTCCTGTAGGTCTAGTAGGCATGAAAAGATTTGCTCCTTAAATGCTTACATACATTAACAGTCTATTGTGGGTAGGCTGACAAAAGATTTCTTCACCTGTGTTCAAATGATAAGCATTGCTAGCAATAAATTTCCACATATCTACTTTAAGAGGGTTTCAATTATCCTTAGGGTTACCAGGTAGTTGCAAAACCTTGAGAAGATGTAGCTGTCCGTTCTTTTGTGTGAGCAGAGATGACACTGGCAGGAAGCACCACAGAGAAGCTAAACTCATATGTAGCAGGTACAGATACCATGTTTGTCTGGGCCTACCGGGGGGCTATGAGAATGACCCAGGCCTTGTCCTGTTTTATTTTGAGAATTACCTGTTGAAGGAGTGAAAACATGGGAATGCATATAGCAGGGGCATTTCCTATTTTACACTGAATGCGTCCCCTAGAGAGTGGTGGCCTATCACTACCCTGGAGCAATAGTTGCAGCATTGGGTGTTCGAATGAGTTACGAACAAGTCCACTGCGGGGAATCCCCACTGTCTGAACAGAGGAACCAGCACCGAAGAGTTGAGTTCCCATTCGTGGTTCTGTGGAAAGTGTCTGCTGACGTTGTCTGCCAGCACATTTTCTTTACCTGATAGGTAGGTTGATTAGGTGGATGTTTTGTGGAATGCACCATGCCCATAGAGCCGGACTGACCCGGGCATGTGCAGATCCCAGGGTGCTGCCTGTCCCGCGCATGATCGAGTCTGGCTGCAGCTCCACCACGTGCTTGACCAGCGCTCAGGAGCAGGGACAGGGTTTCCCCTCCTCCTCAGACGCAACCAGAGGCTCCCAGCACCAACCGCGCCCTACTTCCCAGCCACTCCCCCTGTCTCGCCAGGCTTCAGTCCAGCGCCCAGCCGGAAAACCAGAAAATACCGGACACTGCACATGTCCAGTATTTTCGGATTTTTTTTTTACCGGACAGAGGGCCCAAAAACTGGACTGTCCGGTAGACTACTGGACACCTGGCAATCCTGCCCTGCCTGTTAATTTGATAAATTTATCACATTACCATAGCACAGGAGAACCTCGAATCTGGAAAATAATTTGATTATTAGGATTTAAATGAATCCATAAAAAAGGCTCAATACCTTTTACAAAATCTGTCTCAGAACTTGAAATATCGGAGATAAGAAGATTGCACCCTGACACCTATGTATTTAGGCATGCAGGTGAGATAACATTATATGGCTTGTGATGGTACGTCAGTAGAAATAATCCAAGTGTATATTAGTCTATACTTTAGGTAGTTATACACAGCAGCTTGGAGGTGTAATTCCCAGAGTGGTTAGTCAGACATGTGCTAACTCTGCTTGAGCAAGCATGCTAATGCCACAGATCTACAGGATTGGTGCTAAGTTCCCAACTTTGGAACTGCAGCTCTAGCAGGAATTGTGAGGGGGCCTCAAGGGAGCCTTTGTTGAGGACAGATTATCCTGTGTCTGTTATTTACTGTTGGGCTCTGAAACTTCCTTGGAAACATCTGGTATTGGCCACTGGACCTGCCCCAGCTTTGGATCTTGGGTTTGATCCACATGACTATTCCTATGGATAGCCATGTTGGTCCCAGGATAGAACAGAGAAAAAGGTGGGTAAGGTAATACATTTCACCAAACAAACTTATCTTGGTGAAATAAGCTTTGTGAAGAATTCTGTGAAGCTCAAAAATGTGTCCTGTCAATCAACAGAAGTTGTTCTACTAAATATTACCTCACCCACCTTTTTCTCAGTTCCTGCACTGAAATCTTTAGTACCAAATGCAAAACATTCCACAATGTGGAATGACAGATGAAATTCAGTGTTGGCAAATTAAATTCAATGTTGATAAATGCAAAGTAATACATACTGGAAAATATTATCCCAACGATACATATAAAATGATAGGAGACTGAATTAGTGTTGCCACTCCTGAGAGAGGTCTTGGAGTCACTGTGGACAGTTCTCTGAAAACATCCACTCAGTGTGCAGCAGCAGTCAAAAAAACAACCTCCAGGAGTGTGAGGCTGGGGCCAGAACTCTGTGGCTTCCACTGACTGCACCAGGCTGAGGTTGGAGCCTTGTGACTTCCCCTGGCTGCATGGGGCTGGAGCTCTGCGGCTTCCCCCAGCTGTAGAGAGCCAGGGCTGGATCTGAGTGGGGCTAGAGTTGGAGCACCCTCTCAAAGAAATTCTTGTGTACAGGCCTGCCTGATGATTACCTCTTCTGTTCATTCCCTTTGGGGCACCTGGTTTTGGCTGTTATTAAATAACAGGATATTGGGCTAGATGAACCTTTAGTCTGACTCAGTGTAGTTATTCCTACTTCCTTATGTTCACAGACATTACAAACAATACTACTGGTGGCTCTTTGGTGTTAAAGTAGATGCACACCAGGCTCGGAATTAACATTAAAATATTTCAAGACAATCAGGTATTGATTACTTCCTAAAAAAATACAGTAGCTCAATTACATGAAATTTCTATGTCTGAAAATAAAATGAATGTTATTTGCATTATTCTGTCAAGGAAGACATTTAGGCTATGTCTAGACTGGCATGATTTTCCACAAACGCTTTTAACGGAAAAGTTTTCCGTTAAAAGCATTTGCGGGAAAGAGCATCTAGATTGGCACGGACGCTTTTCCGCAAAAGCACTTTTTGCGGAAAGCGTCCGTGCCAATCTACAAATGCTTTTGCGCAAAAAAGCCCTGATCACCATTTTCGCGATCGGGGCTTTTTTGCGCAAAACAAATCTGAGCTGTCTACACTGGCCCTTTTGCACAAAAGGGACGTTTGCCCGAACGGGAGCAGCATAGTATTTCCGCAAGAAGCACTGATTTCAGACAGTAGGAAGTCAGTGTTCTTGCGGAAATTCAAGTGGCCAGTGTAGACAGCTGGCAAGTTTTTCCGCAAAAGCAGCTGCTTTTTCGGAAAACCTTGCCAGTCTAGACACAGCCTCTGAGTGGCTTACACAAAGTTCACTATTCTTAGCCTATCTGATTAATTTAATCAATGTGAAATCATAAGCGAGGAATCACTGAATGGCCACTATTGACCTGATTAAAAGTCTCCAGAAGTCAATGGAAAGACTCCTGTTGCCTTCCTTGGGCTTTGGATGAGGCCTTAGCTTATACATAGCAATTTTCTATTAAAAAATCATGAGAACCAACCGTTCCCGTTGTCATGTTCTATGAAGTCTCAACTAGCTTAACATAAGCACTAGATTTGTTCAGTAATCAGTAAAGTTATAAAGAAAACAAATTCTCACAAATAAGATGATGTTGAAGCCTTTGAATATTTACCATGACGTGAACACTTATTTTCCCATCCTATAATTATTACCTCCTGTGCATCTACAGTGTTCATACATTTTCACTGAGGTTAGTTCAGTTGTTTCTAGTAATTAAATGCTATGGGAAATAAATTTTCCTTTTGCTTTTTTTGGTAGCTGTTTATTAAGAAAAAAGGATCCAATAGCAAATATAGAGAAAGTAATCAAATGTATGCAAATTCATCAGCTGATAGAAGAGTGGTACAAGCCAAATTAATGACAAAGTAATTGCAGCAAAACAAAGTAACAATATTAATATAAAAAAAAACCAATCCCCCAAATAAGCCAATGACAGAATGAGACATGACATGACAAACTATGTACACAGAAAATCGATAGCATCTTCTGGTATTTACAATTGTGAATCACAAAGGAATGAGGCAAACATGGACATATATTAACCAGAGGATCTCTAACTGAAAGATGTTAATATGAATGCTCTTTTATCATGGTTACACTTTCAGGGGATGAAAGAAATGATAGGGTTAATTTTTTAAGACATCTTGGCATCAGATATATTCTGCTATGAATGAATTTTAAATTTAGATGGTCTAAATTGGAGCTTTTAAAATATTGCTTAAAATGCAATTCCAATTAGATTATAATATTTTGCTTTTCACAAATCTCCAAGTTATTCTTAACCCTTATCCCTGTTTTGTTTCTAAAATCTCTAGTATTATGTTGGCCTCTCATGGATTGACTGAATGAAAATAAAGAGAGTAGGGAAGATACTGAGTTCAATGCTGAGAGCTGAACACATTATCTCTAAATTATAATCTGTGGTATCTTCGGTAAAATTTCTGGAAAACTACAAAAATTCCTCAAAGCATCTGCAGTGTGAATTCTTGTAATCTGTGCAAATTCATAACTGTTCACTAGTGACAGTCTGTAGTAGCATCACAAAGAAACACTGTCTCTCAAAAACTTATCCTCTGCAGATTTAAAAGCTATACCGAAAATAATGAGAACGACACTTTACATGGCAGCAGGACAAAGTTTTATTCACTGATTTCCAACTGGTGTTAAACCACTCAAGAGACATCCAGTATGTTTATAAGACCACCACAGATATGACTACATTTGCATATTACGTCTAACTCACTACCATGCCCTCTTTACCTTAAAGGCACTAGCTATAAATAAAATTAAAAAAAAAACAGATAAAATTAGGGTAATGCCAGGAAACAAGTGGTTGCGTATATGTACTTCTACTTTCATGTTTGCACATATTCATGCTTTAAATGTACAATTTTTTAAAAAGTATATTCAAAATAATAAAAAGTTACCTTCATTTTTGGCATTACAAACAATAAAATGAAACATGCAGAAAAAATCCAGCAAAACCAAACTCAGTGCATCATTTTGTCAGAATGAAGCAGTTCTTTACCACCTTTTTATTTTCTGTGATTACATTCATAGTACAAGGAAAAACAAATAAACTCTGGCTTCAATATCATTTACCTGCTCTTCCATACCTTTTCCAACATCTTTGGAGAGTGAAATCTACTCTTGGGAATACAGGTTAAATTGTAATGCTATGTTTTCAACAGTCTTGGTAGTCCAGCAAAGCAAAACACAGCTGGTTGTATTTACTGTTCTATTTCCAGGCTATCCATTTTTAAATCAGGTGGTTTAAAGCTAATCATTTCTTCATATGTAATCTCTGGAGGGGACAAAAAAGAGAGATGTGAACTACCTGAATCTGAAATGAATCACATTTAAGTAGTGACTGTATGTAGACCTAAAGTATCTGAAAAGTATCAATTTACAAAGAAAATATTCAAGGCAAAAGAGACACAGGTATCATGAAAGGGTTTACATTTCTAACCTTACTACGAACTTGATCAAAAGCCTGCTGAAGTCAGTGGAAGTCATGCTCCTTATTCTGACATATTTGCATCAAGCAGTTTATTACTAAAACACACTAGCCTTGAAGAGGAAATGCAGCGTATGTTGTCAAAGAACTTCCAGGATGACTTAATGAAATAAAATAAACTATAATATGAAACCTTTATAATGCCCAACTGAGTTTATTTTAATATACATTTTATCATTTCATTTCTTTAGGTGCAAAAAGAACATTCTTCATCTATTTCTCAATCCCTTGTGTTCCAATCTAAATGAAACACTTGAACCTCTACTGTTATGCCTTGTTCTTTGAGGGTTCTACTGCAATGTATGTAGCTTTAAAGTTTCCTTACAGGATAGTTGTTTGCTGCACAGTATGTTAGCTCCCAAACTTGCTTGAACCAAGACTTGCCCAAAGTGGCAGTATGCAGTGCCATTTTGCTCTACTTTCTGCCTAACCCCTTTTCTCTCTCTGACGACAGCAATCTCCCTTCAGCAAGGAGCAAGTTATATCTTTCAACTGACAGGAAAAAAATATCACAATTCTGGCTCTTCTCTATTAAAAACACCTTTTCTCTCAATGTGGAAAGAGACCATAAGGGACTGATCCTCTCCACACTGTCGTAAATGAAAAACTTCCCACATGTGCAGGAAGAGGCCTTTGCTCACTGGCTAGTGTTTAAAGTAGAAATGTTAAACTGCATGTAATTATGCTAAAGCCACCCCCCACCCCATGCTGCTGCCGCTGCCGGAGCTCAATGGTTAACATTCATGGTTATATGTTGTCTCTGTTTTAAAAGCAGCCCTACCTCCCTGTGTAAATGGTTACACTTTCACATCCCTAGCTTAAAGCTCAACGTGCTCATGTGAATTGGTTTGGTAAAGATTCACGTACTGCAGCAGTAAGTGTGTGTATCTGCATGTGCATAGCTTTCTTCAATGTAGTCTTTAAATGTTATGTACTTAGGGCCAAAACCTGGCCACAGCTGTACGCTGTTTCACATTGCTCAGGTGGTGCAAAGCAGCATGGGCTTAACTTGAAACTGAGATAAGTCAATTACGTAGCTTATTTCGAAATAGCTTATTTCAAAATTGGGAGCATCTACACAGCACTTATTTCAAAATAGAGCACTCTTCCTCCGACTTCCCTTACTCCTCATACAATGAGGGTTACAGGAGTCAGAGTAAGAAGTCCTCCACCTTGACAGTATTTCAACATTATTTCGAAATAACTGCCTGATGTGTAGACGCTGACTAAGTTATTTTGAAATAATGTTTCTGTGTAGATGTACCCTGATTGATTAAACAGCCAGGAATTTCCTGGCTGTAAACCTCAACAACATGTCATGAAGCTCTTTGGACATACCAAGCACTTGTAACCCCATTCAGGTGCTCAGTTCCTCACTCAGGATCAACCACTTAGAGACTTTAAAGTTTGAAGAATAGAAAACGGGAAGAAATGTGCTATCAATTTTATTTATTTATTTATTTTAAATTGAGCCAATATTCCATTAACAACTCAGAGAAATCATTTCTGTAAATGGACCTTTAAGGTCTCCCTATTTCGATTAGCAATTGCAGTATTTGAGAAGCAGTAATAAATAATGTTAATTTATTGGCATAATAAAATGTGTAGAAACTTCTGCTTGCAGGAAATATTCACAATCATATTATTCATGGAAAGATATACTATTTGTTTCCATCATGAAATACTGTCACTGTGGAGATGTACATGAACCCACAGTTTGCACAGATTAATGAGAGGATGTTGTCTCGCTACCGTTAATGCTATGAGTTGTTTTCTATTACAATACCAATTTGATCTCTCCTCTAATTTCATCTAACTTACATCTATCAAACTGTCTTGTGTTGTCCAATGCCAAGGAAAATTCATTTTGCCATATTTGGAGGAAATCAGGACATTTTTTAAACAGTGTGGAAAATCAGTAAGAAGAAACTTATTGAAATCTTTCTTGGCCCTTATTTTCCCCCCACATCTCTCAAAAACAATTTGATCTAGAAATCCAGAGTTGATTAATTTTGTTTTCTCTTAAATAGTCTTAACACTTTATACTACTTGTACAGTAAAACCTTTGCTATCCAGCACTCTGTTAACCAGAAAACGTTGTTAACCATATTGCCTCCAGCCACAATACTGTCAAATCTTCAGGCGCATAGGCCTGGCTTGGTTTACCACGAGTGGCTTAACAATTTTTTATGTAAGAAATATTAATCATCTTTAACTCAAAATAAAAATGTGAGACCAACTGCCTTACACTACAAAACTACCAATATTAAAAATCTGAGTTTTACTATTATTGTCCATTGGTTTTTCCTAGGTTGATGGGACCCTCAGATAACTGGAATTTTTAGATAACTGGAACGCCCTAATCCCCGAGCGTGCCGGATAACACAGGTTTTACTGTATTAAGATAACTGAGTAAACACTTGAATTAATGCTATGTGCTTCCTTTTATTTTTATTCATAATATAAAACAGTGGTTCCCAACCTGTGTTCTGCGACGGTACTGTAAGGGGTCCGTGGAAAGTTTAAACATAAGGATCAGGCCCACTGTGGGACAGGGACTTTCAGCCCAGGGCTCAGTTTGAGACCATCCATCCTCCCACAGCCAGCTGCGCTGTCATTTATGCTCCAGCCCTCGCCCCCCTCCCAGCCCCATGGTGGGCTCAATCCTTACTTTTCTTTTCCTTTTATTTTTTTTCCTCCACCAGGGCTCTGAGCCTAGTCAAGGGCAGAGTGCTGGGGCAGGAGCTGCCTTTGGCCATGAGAGCTCCCTCGCCATATCCTCTGTGAATAAGCAGGGGACGGCGGGGCGGGAACTGAAGCAGCAGTGCAGGCCAAGGGATGTGCTGGCTGCTGCATTATCAAGTAATGGAATGTTTGAAAACAGCTTTATTGTTTGGGAGGGGACATAACATTTTAATAGATTGAGGGGGGGGGGGGGGGGGGGGGGGGGGGGAGGGAGGTCCATAAAATTTTAATAGATTGAAAAGGGGTCCGTATGCTCGAAAACGTTGGGAACCACTGTTATAAAATAAAAACAGACTGTTAGCTTTACAGAAATTAATCAAAAGAAGAAAAAACAGCCGTTTTCCTTGGTACATTGTTTGGGTGAAAATCAATTTTCTATTACATAGCTAAATGCTTAGTCTAACAAACTTGAGCCTTCTCAGGTATGAATATTAGTTGCTTGCAGACAGTTGAGTCATTATAAATATTACGGCCAGATTTTGAAAGTCAGATACCTGCATATCTATTTAGGCACCTAAAAGAAAGACTAACCTGATTTGCAGAGCCACAGCACTGGTACTGGTGTTGATGGACTGTGAGAATACACAGCACCATTGAAAATCAGGTCACTTCCATTCAGGTGATTAAATATGGATTTAACTTTAAGCACCCAACTTCAAATACTTTGTCTGGAATGTTCTTATAATTTGTTTTGTTGGTCTTCCTTGAAGGATTCTTCTGTTGTCATCCAATTCATTTGTCCTCCACTAAGGACTACATGGATATAAGTAGGATTTTTCTACCATCAAGAAACAGATGGCTTTCTTTTAAATAAAGTTATGCATATGCTCGCTCTTATCCACCAGAGAATCACTCACTTGATAATTGAAGAAAGCAAGCCAGACACTTAATCAGCAAAGATAGAAAATCATCAGGTACTTTGAAAGCTGTTCCCCAGATTTTTTTATAGCATGCAAGGGAATTATTCTCCCTCACCCCCTATAAATTAACTCAAAGAATCTCTGTAGACAGATGTAAAGCAGATGAATATTAAGGCAGTTTGCATTTTAAAAGATGAATCATTAAGGGGGCAATTCTTGTAAAGCTACTAACAAGTTGTTAAGCAAAGTACACTACCTTTGTTCTATTCTGGTTATAAATTTTGGATGAAAAGCATTAGCTTCTTGGAGGAAAGAGCTAACAGACTGGTTTGAGCTGTGTGGTAGCAGTGGAGAGACAAGTGTTAAAAGGGAAGAGAGAGGATTGTGTAAATTTTTGGGGACACTTCCAGGGTACATTTTTTACAGCCTCTCAAAATCTCTTAGGATTGCCCGATGCTAAACATATTGATCAAAACTGATATACTCCCTTTCAAGTATGAGATGCTGTCCCTGATCTAGGTTAGAAGGGAAACAATGGGTTGTATCACCCAAAACTGAAATACCACTGGACAGTCATCGGAGCTGCTTGCAAATAAAAGGATTTCCCAAATTTATTATTTGTCAAAAAGTTTTGAAATTCAAAATGTTTCTGTCAGGTATAAGAATAATTCATATGTATCCAAGCCTAGCTGTCCTCACACAGATGTTGTTTTAGTGACTTTAGTTGAGTTACTCTTGACTTGCACTGGTTGGCGTAAGGGAAAAGAAGATCAGGCTTTTAATTTCATTATTGTTTCAATGAGTGGGGTTCTCTCACTGGGAGGAGGAGAAGCAGGAGAAGGGGCAGAGTTAAGGTTGGTTTTGGGTACCTCAACAGGGGTATTTTTGGCAGTTAGATGTTAGAATTTTTTGTTTTGTTTTTCAATAACTAAAATACTTGAAATTCTAGACTTTAGCCCATCCCCAAACAAAATTGATTTGAAATCATATTATTAAAACATTGTCAATTAATGGCTGATTTATGGGCTTAACTGTATCTTACCAATGCTTTTAGTTGGGGAATATATAAATACTGTGTTTGCTAATATGTCCTTTATTACTAGTCACATAGGACTATAAATACCAAAATATGGAAAATGTGAGTTATTAAAAAAACCTCAATAAAATATACATAGGCACTAAAGATTTAGGGCAAGCATAGACTTGAGTAAAAGCATATAAAAAAGTTTAAAATACAAAAACACCGTCTCATTGCACTAACGCCTACAATCAAATGATGCAAGGTAAATAATTCAGTATGTAAGGCTTCTGATTCTAAATGTGCACGGAATACAGAGTGTTCAAAAGGCATTACTACATTTATGTTAAAGCAACTTGCTGTTTTTACATGTTGCAGGATTCATGTCTCCAAAAACAGAGCCTTCATGGAACTTTTTACAAAATACGAGGTTAGCTATTTCATTTATTCTTGAGACCCTTGACAACCAACAAGGGATGGCATAATGCTATGCCTCCCATGCCTCTTTCAATGTACCAAAACTAAATGAAGTACACTGAGCTATTCTGTGAATGTGCTTAAACAGAATGTAGCCTTTTCCTTACAAATACAAAATTCAGACTAAAATGTATCTTTAATGAGAGACTAAAAGAACCCATCCATGTGCCTTCTACCCCTTGTTGTTTGAATTTTCCTATTTAGTTCCATCCAAATGGCATAGAAATGTCTCCCACATATTAGATTCTTTAATATGGTGCTTTGGATATAATTCTTCCATTGAGGGGGAACGGAGTTATTTTCATAAAAGCTAGAGGAGAGACAAGCATAAAAATCTTACAAATTGATGAGGAACTAGATTCACAAACTGAACTGAGCAGCTTTGTGGAAAATTTTAAAAGCCCTCTATCTAGCCTTGTATCTGTTCCTTAAGACTTAGAAGAGCAGCTTGCTATTCTCTTGAGAAGTTCTAACAGAAGAGAAACAAAAATACTACATAGCTTCACAATGTGTCAGTTTCTGGTACTACAGAAGCTCAGTTGTGATGAAATAAGAGAATTCGCAACTTCTTCAGTTTTGTAAGTGATTTTCTATTATATCTCTGCAAGCAATCGTGAACATATTACTTCATTTGGAATATTATTCTTCCATAATAGAGAACAAAAGAACCATATTTTGCCTTGTTTTAATGCTCTTCTAGCTAAAGCTGCAAAACGATTTCAATCAAGCCATTTTTAGGCCTACTAAAGCAATAACAACATTTCTTTCTAAACAACCCAAAGACCTTGATTTTTCCCCTTTCAAGAATTTCAACCAGTTTAGCTTCATTAAGGAATACTTTTACCTGAAGCTGTTAAAGAAATGCTAACCAAATAAATCTCTCAAATAATTCTTATATAAAACTACCTTTGCACTTAATTATTCAACACATGGAATGAGAACACACATTTGCTTGAATGCAGCATCTGAAATATTAATTGTGATTTTCCTCAGAAAAACTGTTTGATGGCCTAGAAGTTTCCACTTCTATTCACACAGTAAAAAGTCAAAATTAAACTGAAATAATCAGACTGCAGAATCAGATGTAGTACAGTAAAACTCCAATAGTTCGGCATCCAATAGTCCGGCACTCCTGATAGTCCGGCATCAAAATGGCAAGAGCCTAGTGAGTGAGCTTCAGCAAAAAATGAGTCACAAGGTAACAGCAGCAGCAGCTGAACTGAGCAAAAAGGGTAAAAAAGGCTTAAAAAAACAAAAACATTACAGTATATTGTATACAGTATGTACAATAAAAAGGGTTAAGAACACTTTATATACAGTATATAATGTATACAGTATTATATAAAACCAGTTTATAGTACCTCCTGATAGTCCGGCATATCTGATAATCCGGCACCACCTAGGTCCCATAGGTTCTGGATTATCAGAAGTCTACTGTATTTGTTTTATTTTCAGAGCATAGGGTATTTGCAAGATCCATTTTCTAATGCTAGGTGAAGCATGTAAAGAAGAGAATGAGATGAAATCCCTTGGGGGGTGAAATTCAGCCCTGTACAGCGGGCCAACAAGAAGGCCTATGCTCTGTTTCAGTTTCAAGAAAGCCATATTTTGAAAGCTTACGTGGCCCCTAAAGCTTGTGCTGCCTCTTTGAACAAGGGTTAATTTCACCATCTTTTTGATGCAACAGAATCTGCTGCTGCATAAAACATGATTGCAGTTATCCCCACTTCCCAGTTTCAGCTCAGGAAACGTTAAGCCAAGTTTGCCCCTGTAACCATTTTAAAAGAGGCTTGCATCATGAAGAGGAATTATTTTTGTGAAAAGGAAATTGTTAAACCTTCCTGTCAAGGGCTCAACCATCTGAGGAAATAGCAGACAGACAAATCAAGTACCTGTAGCTACAGCAGCAAATGCAGCATGGATTCATACTCAACAAGGTACGTGCAAGGCAATATACAGGCAGTCCCCGACTTACGCGGATCCGACTTATGTCGGATCCGCACTTACGAACGGGACTTTCTCGCCCCGGAGCTCGCAGGCAGCGATCCGCCACCTCGACCTCCGGGATGAGAAAAGCTGCTCCCGGTGCCCCTGGTCTGCTGGGGACCGTCTCCAGCAGACCAGGGACACCGGGAGCGAAGCCGCAGCCGCGGCGGGGGCCCGCGCCTCTGAGGCTTTGCCAGAGCAAAGCCTCAGAGGCGCGGGCCCCCGCCGCGGCTGCGGCTTCGCTCCCGGTGTCCCTGGTCTGCTGGGGGGGGAGGGGCGCAGCTAGTGTGCTTCCCCCCCAGCAGACCAGGGACACCGGGAGCGAAGCCGCAGCCGCGGCGGGGGCCCGCGCCTCTGAGGCTTTGCCAGAGCAAAGCCTCAGAGGCGCGGGCCCCCGCCGCGGCTGCGGCTTCGCTCCCGGTGTCCCTGGTCTGCTGGGGGGGGAGGGGCGCAGCTAGTGTGCTTCCCCCCCAGCAGACCAGGGACACCGGGAGCGAAGCCGCAGCCGCGGCGGGGGCCCGCGCCTCTGAGGCTTTGCCAGAGCAAAGCCTCAGAGGCGCGGGCCCCCGCCGCGGCTGCGGCTTCGCTCCCGGTGTCCCTGGTCTGCTGGAGACGGTCCCCAGCAGACCAGGGGCACCGGGAGCAGCTTTTCTCATCCCGGAGGTCGAGGTGGCGGATCGCTGCCTGCGAGCTCCGGGGCGAGAAAGTCCCGTTCGTAAGTGCGGATCCGACATAAGTCGGATCCGCGTAAGTCGGGGACTGCCTGTATATTTTCCAGGCTTTGCTGCAGACAGATTTTTTGGAGGGAGTTCCTGATGGCAATCAACTATCATCAACAATCTAGAACTAGCAGAATCATAGCAGAGCCCTCCTCAGGCTAATACAGGATTGTTCCTTCCTGAGTAGTCACTGTGGCACATTTCCTGCCCTGCGTTAGTGCAGCTTTGCACCACTCCTAGAACCCAGCCACTGTAGGATTTCACCAGAGGGGTCCTTATGTGGCACAGACACAGACAGACACTGTAGGAGGACATGATGGGGAGAGGAGCAGATAAAAGGGCACTGGAGAGGATCTCTTACACTCCTGGTATCTCCAGGTGCTGGAACAGATCCTTGGAGTGATGGATAAGTGTAATTTGGAGTAGTTATCAGTCTGCTCTCATTTAAAACAGAGACCAGCTTCAGAAGTGGGGGAGTGCAAAGATCATTTATCAGTTATCTTTGTAGCACCCTTTCTGCACTACAGCTCAGGATCTGGCCTAGAGTGTCTTACTCCACAGAAGTGCATACAATGAATCAGACTCCCTATAAGTAAACTCCATGCAAAAATATGCCATGTAAACCAGCTCTGCTGTATCCATTTGGTGATGAGGGAACCACACAAAGGGTTAGGCAGGATTCTCTGTTCTGATAAAGACACTCTGCACCACGTAAGTAGTGCAAAGTGGTTTTACATTGGCTGGAGACAGTAGAAAATTATCTCCCTCCACCCACCCACCCACCCACAACTATTCATTAGTGGAAAACTGGCAGAAGCAGCTTCATTGTCTCCTGTTCTAGCCCTCTGTGTATTGCTAAGTAAAGAGTAATTGTGTTTAGAATCCTGTGCAAAGGCTGCGCGTGTGTCTGTTGGCTTTTATTGTCATGTGTCTGTGTCCCTGAAGAGTTAAACAGTAAACCCACAGTGTCTACCCTGAGGTGAAATCTTGGGAAAGAATGTGCCTAAGGTACAGGAAGTCTGAGGGATCACCACTGGGCTTCGGGGCGAGGCATTTGGACTGAAAGGTCTCAGCTCTTAGGAGGAGGTGCTAAATAGAGAGAGTGTTCTGAGAACCCAGCTAGGGGGTAGTGAGTATTCCTACATCGCTTGCAACGTACACATAAATGGGAGATTCCTTGTGCGCTCTTCTTTACCTTCCCATGTTTTATATTTCTTCCATCTCAAATGGAATATGTAAAAAATATTGAGTTTCTTGTTTACAAATGTGTGCTGGAAGTTAAAACCACAACAGACCTTTTAATGCCCATAGTAGCTGGCCATGCATGTACAGAATCAAATTTCTTGATGCCAACTATACAACTGGAACAAATACTTTGGGCAAGCATCGTGGTGCTAATTCACCAATTTGAAATGGACAACAAAAAGCACACACAGCACTTTTATCCCACATAATCCTTTTGGGACTTAAATGATGCAAAGGCCACAAGACAGCCCAGTATACTGAGGTGAACTTCACCCTAGGTGCGCATTTATACACGTAATCTACTTTACCTTTTATTGTGAAAGCATGTATAGGAAAGCGTTAACAGGCCATTTAGGACACGTTTGCTATAACTACAGAAGGGCTGGAGCCAAAACCTCACATGGTGTAAACTGGTGGTGTTCTGCTATCCCAGCTGAGGATTTGGTTCACAGGAGTTTACACGAGAACAAAAGTATGGGATCCTTATAAGATCACCTGTGCCCACCTTCATGTGGGGCTGTGTGTACTGAGGAAAATCCAGTGGTCAGATGATGGGAAGAGAGATAGAACCTCAGAGGGAAATACATATAGATATGCCTTGTTATTTCTGAAGTTTAAGTTCAAGATGTGTTGCAATTTCCTGGGTATGAACCAGGCAAAATCTGTTTTTAAGCAAATTCTTTTGCTACACATTTGAAGAGTTGCATGTAAGTATCCCTTACCTTTCCATTCATCTATGGTTCGTTCTTTATTCTCTATTGATTCGTCATATAGCTCGGCCTCAGGCTCATCATCAGGATCATGATACTGGACAAAGTAAGCATGAGCAAGTGCTTCTGAGGCTGTTATTCTTTTATCACTGTCTAATATAAGCATCTTCTCAAGAAGATCTACAGCTAGGGCAAAACCAAAACTCTAATTAAATTTAAAACAAGTTAGGTCATTTTAGACATCAGAATCCTCATTTAGACTTCCTCGTAAGGCCATGACCTTGCAAACAGGTATGCATATGCTTAATGGTAAGCTCATCAATAGTCATATACAGGCAGTCCCCGGGTTACGTACAAGATAGGGACTGTAGGTTTGTTCTTAAGTTGAATTTGTACGTAAGTCCGGTACCCCAGGTGTCCCCGATTCAGCCGCTGCTGAAACTGACCGGCGGCTGACTACAGGAAGCCCGAGGCAGAGCTGCTTTGCCCCTGACTTCCTGGAATCAGCTGCTGATCAGTTTCAGCAGCAGCTGACTTGGGGACACCTGGGGTAGAGCAGCTGGGG